CTTTGTGTTATTTAGCTTTATTTTCACTGTTGTAAACTAAATCAAGCTGGTTGCTTTTGGATATAATTCCTTGACGTATACTTGAAGCCTCAAAAAAAATTTGTATCAATTTGCTGCATAACTTTTGAATTACAGGTATTTAAATTTAAAAACATAATGAAAACAAGTGAATTTTTTATGTAATTTTTAAGAGGGGCACAATTAATTATGTCATAACTTTTGAAGCACACCATATTCTGATTTGAAATTAAATGGGCATTTAGCACTTATGTGTACACTTCATATGTAGTAGGTAAGAAAAGTGTGCCTTAAAAAATAACGAAATGGCAAGTAACTCAAAGTCTGTTACTCCACATCTCACAATTTTCAAAATTTTTGGTTTATCGCGTATAGGTTTTGAAGCATTTAATTTTCAGAACCTTTTAGGTATGTGTTGCATTCTACAAACAATTACGAATAATTTGATACCTTACTTAGCAAGATGTGTGCTTTCAGAATAAACTAACTTTTAAAGATAAAATATTCTGCGATCTTGAGCGTAATTTTTATTCCAAAAACACCTTAATTGAAGGCACATTTCGAAAATACGTCGAAACGATCTAAATCTTTTTATAACTGCTAGTCCTCATAAATTTACATATACCTGTAAAATGCTTCAAAAAATTTGTCTCTAGAAGTTTGTAAAAACCCTGATTTACTACTTTTAATGATGCTCCTTCTTTTAGTCAGAATATTTCGAGAGTGGTATCAAAGCAAATATTTTTCGACAAATGTTCTGATACTTGGTGTTACTTAATTGGAACATTCTAAATTCAATGGCGTCCTCAGTTTTGCGCTATTGGCTCCACTTTTCGATATAGCAGTACTTGAAACTTTGCTTAAATTTTAACTATTTTATAAAAAAACTCCTTGAGTTTTGAAGATATTTTACTAAAATTTTGCACATAACCGTTTTTTAATATTACCTTAACTATTCCATAAAATCATCGAAATCGGTTCACTAAAACATCCAGCTCCCATACAACTAATTGATCAGAGTGGTTGTTTTGCGTTATAACTCCTCCAATTAAACCGGTTAAAATTTAGTATAGGTTAAATTTAACATATAGCACGCATACAATTTATTATTCAGATATGAAGTTAGATTTATAGCGCAAAAACACATATCTGAGTAATCAGTTGTATTGGAGCTATATGTTAATGTGAACCTATTTCCATATTTTTAAGGAATAATTAAGGTAATATTAAAAAAGTGTTATGTGCAAAATTTTAGCAAAATAACTTCACAACTGAGGGAGTTCTTTATAAAATAGTTAAAATTTAATCATATTTTCAAGTACCGCTATCTCGAAAACCAGAGCGAATCTGGTAAAACGGAGCATGCCATTGAATTAAGAACGTCCCAATTAAGTGAGTTCAACTGTCAAAATCTTTGCTCAAAGTTTACAACTTGAACAGCGTAATTTGCACCCAGCTTATTATTTTGTTTTCCATTTCATGTTTATTCCTCGTCTAACTTTTGAAGCACTTGATGAAAATGAATTACACTTATATTAATCGATTTATTAAGAGATTACGAATAAAATGACATATATAAAACATAAGTGTGCTCACAAATTTAAAAATTAAAATTTTTTTTTTTTGAAAGTGTACCTATTTTTTAGATTTGCCCATATACACACCCGCATACATGTCTGAACATGTCCGTATGTACATATCTATGTATTTATACATGTGTAATATATTCGTGATCGCATTGTATGTTGTGGATTAACTAAAATACGTATTACACATTTTTCGACAATTGAGTTGGCACGCTCAAAGCATAATTTACCTACTATTTTTCATGTAATGACCCTTAAGGGTTAAAGTACCACGAAGCGCTTAAGCATAAATAAGACATTCGTATAGCGCTGTGATATTTCAATGTAAATAATACAATGCAATTCAAGAAATACACAAAGCTATGCATCTAAGTTTGCGCAGTAAAGATAGTCTAGGATAACATTGTTATAAATTGATTTCTCAAAAATTTTGTAAGAGGAGAATAAATTATATATTGTATACATATTGATTCACAATAATATTTATTGTTGAATATACACAAATTAAGTTTTGGTCACAATCCAGTGAAAGAATATTATTTATGAGAGTTTTAAATGAAAGTTTAACTGAGAGTTTTCACATATTTCTAGGAAACTCCATCTTTATGTAAGCTTTGCCATATGATAGCTCAAAGCTATTTGCGAAAAATAACTGTTTTTTAATAAGTATTTCGGAACGAGTTTTGAGTGTTTTGGACCTTTGAACAAAATATTGTATTGCAATAAATTACGATAAAACTCAAAGATATGTAAAGTTTTCCAGAACCTTTTTCTAGTTTAAGATGCAAAGGATACAAAATCTACATACATACATACATAAGGATGTACATACATATCTGCCCATGTAGGTCAATTTGATGCATACGAATTTACAGGGCGTATGAGCAACTTTTTTTACTTGTATTCAGGCTTCGGAGCAAACACCTTTTTATCATATCGCTCCACTCTAGCTCCGCTCTGGTATTTTAATTCGCTCCGACTGGGTCAGCTTATCAATAAGGTTAAATTAATTAACATACGTAATTCATAAAGAAATCAATTAACTTTGCCATGTAAAATTTGTCAGTAAATGCGAAATTTGTGAACATTCAACCAATTAAAAGATTTTCGATCAAAACTGTAAAGTTTTAAATCA